CCCTTTCAAAATATTATTGTATTCCTTGATGTGGCTATAGCTACCACATGTATTTAACCAGTACCTATGGCACGACTCAAAGAATTTGTACTCTAAGTACTTTTCTCACTCCTCACTCCTCCTTCCCATGTATTCTCCATCTCTTCTGTAGCCTCAATTTTCTTTTCCAAGCACTTCTTCACTTTAGCTCACAGACATGCTCGAGGCCCCTTCCACCATCCTCTAAAATTGCTTCTACTCTGCCTCCTTCTCATCAGACGTTACAACATATCTTTCCTAAGAACAAAATTATTTCACAGAAATAGTAATCTACCTTTACTGTATCACCCTTTACTGCTTCTAGTTATTTGGCCTGCTGTAATCAGGCATTCTCTTCCTACTTGTTTGTTGAAAATGCTTCCTCTCCACACTCACCCATCCCATTAAACCCCTTTTCTACAAATTACCAGTCTGATGATCTACCAAATCTACAGTGATCAGTTCTCAAATGCAGATTTCCTGATGGCTTCTCTACTTAGCAGCTTCCAGATAAATAAAATTTAATATAGAAAATTTGGGACATTATAAATACAACTCCTAAAGGATGTAAGTGAAAACAGGCATCTCTTCTTTCTAGACTGAGAACTTTTTGTACTTGTCAGTTGTGCTTGTTCTGATTTTTTATATTGGAAGCATAATACTGTGACAACACCGAACACAAATATTTGCACACATCTCTGATTTCTTTAGGATAAACTTCTAGAAATAAATTACTACATTAAACAGTATTTTAAATTAGTAGCTTAACTTATAAATAGCAAAGAAATTCCTTATCAATACAACATTCTATAAATGCATATAATTATAATATCATTGTTTTTTTTCTCTTATTTTATATCCCCATTTGGGGGAGGGGTTGTAATTTTCATTTGGAGAGCACGCTTTTAATGAAAGAGGAGCTTTTCCGAGGATATTGTATTAATATTGGCAATCATCAGTTAAGCGACAAAGTGTCTTTCCTTTTTGCTGATTCTTTTTCTGAGAGGGGTGAAGTGTGGTGCATGGAAGAGGAAGTACATTTGGCTAGGCAATGGACTTGTGCTCCTGGGCAAGAATCAGCAAATGTGGAGGGCTGGGCACGAGGAGGAAGAATGCTCCATGCCAGCCTCATGCATCAGTCATGGAATCTGCCCAACTGCAAGGGAACAGCAGCCCACCCAGAACTCTGAATGGGGGCTGCCCTCACCGGCATGCCACATCGCAGTTTCCATTGACTGGGTCATGTATTAACACTTGGTTAATTAGTCACAATATGCAGGATCTAAGGATGGGAGCCAGGGGCATGCCCGTTCCCATGGAGAGATTGCTGCTCAGAGGAGAGAGGTTCAGGGGTCTGCCCTGCAGCTGGCTGGCTCCGGGATGATTGTCAGGGGACTGGAGTGATTCAGCCACAGAACAGCAGGCAGTAATTTCACTGCCGCTTTTTATCTGTTCCCCTCTCCATTGAATGCCGCTGTCTGCTAGCAAAGGCCTGAATGGGAAGGCGGAAGAGAACAAATGGGGTAGATGGGAAAGCACTTTAAATAATTTCCTTCGTTGAATTCAGATGAACCTCTTCTAAAGAATCTTGGTGACTGGCCAGGCCCAGCTGACAGACTGGTTTTAATTGAAACACAAAAGCTTTTGGGAACCTTGGGACCAGAAATACAGGTACACCCCACCTCTACCTCTCTCTTTTCATTGTGGACTCATTGATCCATTTATTCTTTTTCTTTAGAGTGGATTTGAGGGCAAGGCAATGTATATTAGCAAATGCCAGAGCCACCATCTTCTCCGTTAACTCTCAAAACAGTGGTTAAATATTGCCGCATTTACACCAAAGCCATTATTTCAAAGATTTATCTATTCAAAGAATAAGTTTTTAAAATACAACAATGGCCCAACAGGTGTTGCTCAGTCATTGAGCATCAACCTATGAACCAGGAGATTATGGTTTAATTCCTGGTCAGGGCACATGCTTGGGATTCAGGCTTGATCCCCAGTGGGGGGGCATGCAGGAGGCAGCCAATCAATGATTCTCTCTCATCCTTGATGTTTCTATCTCCCTCTCTCCCTCCCCCTTCCTCTCTGAAATAAAAATATATATACTTAAAAAAAAAACACAACTTTTCTCAAACCTGAGGATCCACAAAGTCTCAATAAAATTTTTGATTTTGTGTTTTCATTTTTATGATCATCTAAACAATTTTAAGCATATTTTGGATTAGTATAACCACCTGACAACCAAATGTTGCCATAGGATTTCATTATTTGTATCTTAATTTGTTTTTCAGACTTTAGTGATATGAAATTAATAACAGAATTTATCTTAATATATGTGCCAAACAATGCACCAAGAAACGAATATGAACACAGTCCCTGCTTTCTGCAAGCTCAGTTTGATGGAAAGGTAGAATCATAAACATATAACTTCAAAATAACACAGTGGATTACATAAATAGCATAGAAATCCACAAAAACTCAAAAGAGGAATGACTTACCCAGAAAAGAGAAGTTGGGGTAATCATTTAATATTTTCTAGAACAGATGCCTTCTGAGCCCTATCTTAGAAAATGAGAAGAAATGGACCAGTCAAGGGGAAGTTGGGAAGTTTCGAGTAGAGGAAACGGCATGAGTAAAGGCCCAGAGAGAAATTATAGTATGGATTATGCAAGAAAGAGCCAGTAGTTCAGTGTTCCTATGGGTGAATGTGTCAAACTAGGAATAAGGAAAAGAGATTAAGAGCTAGATTTTGATTATCTTTGTCAAATGACAGTTTTGAGTGCTCTCTTCCAAAATATTGATATTGTTAGAAGAAAGCATTTGAGTATCTCCCAATCTCTGCTTGCCTCCTTTTCCTACCCCCATAAATCAAGAAATTATTAGCCCTGAGGTGCCAACTCCAGTAAGACCAATGTACTCCAGTCAGTGAGTGTTCTTGAAGCTAGACCCAAATTGGATCGAAGGTACTTACCTTTCTCTCCAAAATCCCTAGGTCTTAGATAAACTGCCTTATAAATCACCTAAATGCTGTCTTGGTGGCTACACACATGACAATGTGGTTGATCACCAGATGCCAGATTATCTGCCTTTTCTGCTCTGTATTGAATTTCATGAAGGTAAAAGTCATCCTGTCTTAATCTCCGTCTTTAGCTTCAGGACAGTCACATAGGAGAAATCATCGAGTGTCAGTGGGTATGTAAAACCCAAAATGGATTTATATACATGCTGCTCTGTAGAGTCTCATGATAAAGACTCATCCAGTCTGACTCTCCTTCCTTTCTTTGTTCCAGCCTTACTGTCTGTTCCTTGGGCCTGGCCTCCCCTTTCTCATCTCAGGGTTTTACATATGTTCCTCCATTTGCCTGGAACATTCTCTCCTTCTCCCCAGCTCTCACACTGACCCTCTTAAAAGTAACTAACTGCTATTCACCTTCAGGAAAAGGCTCTATGCTTGGTTCTCCTGTTACCCAGTCCTGTGCTCTGTACTTCCCTTTCATGTGCCGCATTAATTGACATCTTCACTGCTGTAGCGCCAGTGCCTAGTCTAGAGCCAAGCATAGAACTGGTGTTTAATAAAGATTAAACTCATGATTACATGACTGCTACCAATAATACCTCTGTTCAGTGAACATAGGAATTTTTCAAAGAACAAACAAAATTTGATAGATGTTAGAAGTATAAAGATATGGGATTTTTGTTACTGTGGTTGCATTATTAATTTTAACCTCTCAATGTAAATGCACAATTCTGAACACAACCCTCTGGAATTTAGAGTTTTATTAATTCAATCCATAAAAATTCCTAAACATTACCTTGCTGTCTGCTGTGGTATACTGTCAATTTATAGCTGACCTTATCTTAACATTGAACTTTTTTGACTAATTGCATGCCCTAATTAACTTTTGTGTATTAACTACTTAGTTCTTAGCCCTTATCTCTTTTTACCCAAGAGCAGAACTTAATCAAGTGATCATAAATTTAGTAAGTTCTCTTTGTCATAAGAGTATATAGAGAGATTAAATATCCAGTGACAGGGGACTATTTAAATAAATGGTGGTAATGACCTTGATGAAATATTATTTAGTCATTTAAAATGAGTAATTATAAAAATAATAATAAAATGGGTAATTATAAAGACTACCTAGCAGTATGGAAACAATTTAGAATATAATGCAAATTAGGGGGAAAATCTGAATGCAAAATGGAAATGCAAAATAGCAGTGGAGATAGATATTAAGAAATATGTCAATAAGAAATATATTAAGTAAGAAGATTTGTGAATTTCAGGGAGACTTTAATTGTCTTACATACTAACTTCAAAAGGTTATATGTACACTAGAGATGAAAGCTTTATTAGAATATAAACTGTTCAAATTTACCTGCTGCAGAATTTTTTATAACTACTGCAAATAAAAACCTGCTTATTACCGAAAGGTATCTTACATTTATTATGACTATAGAAGGGACTCTGACTTCAGAAGCCCAAGTTTCTTGATAAATGGGAACATAGTTATTTGATGGATAAACATGGTCAGAACAACAATACTGACAATAATAAAATGTAAATACCACAATTTCACTATGCTACCAAATCAAATATTTTCATATAACTCATTTTCTTCCATTCTTTGTTCTTTGTAATTTATAATTAGTACAATTGACTATAATAATCTTTACTTTCCATATTCCTCAATTTGTAAGCTTTGTTTTCTACTTAAAATGATCATTTTAATTGCTCTATAAAGGAAGCATTTCTTAAAAGCAAAAATATATGGCGCTTGAATGCTTGCGGTGCAAGGACAAACTTGAGTATTTTTCCTGACCTTCCTTTGTTTGCTGACAGTGCACTTTATAGCTTTGCACACAAGACTGTTATCACCTGATTTCCATTTAAGTGGTAAGAAGATAACATTGAGTGCAAGGGGAGCTAGGTTTAGGTGACAGCTACATCATTTAATATCTACTTATTGTTTCTACAGGGGAATTCTGGCCTGGGATTCAGTATTGCTGGAGGGACAGATAATCCCCATATTGGAGATGACCCTGGCATATTTATTACGAAGATTATACCAGGAGGTGCTGCAGCAGAGGATGGCAGACTCAGGTAAAGAACTGAAATGTTAGAATTATTTGGAAAGTAAATCTGCCATATCAGTGAGATACATTTGTCCCTTTGGAGAATAGTAATTCTATAAAACTTCTGTACTTCAGAGAGAAAGCTGTTAAAGTAAGCTTTCTGTAACGACTTTGCAGAACTCTTATTATTTGTTGAATTTCAAGTAGGATTTAATTTGTTGATGGCTACCATATTCAACAGTGGTCCAGGCACTGTGACAAGGGGATGCAGATATGTCTTTTGTTCCATGGGGCCTTCAGTGTGGTTAGACAGAAGAATCCTATGAGCTGATAAGAAAATAATAAAATGTATAGAAAAATAATATATTTAAGTAATATTAGCAACCAATGCAGTGTTTATAGGCACTGTGTACACTTATAGATTCAGAAGCTATTTATAAGGTCTTTGGTAGGAGTTTGGACAACATCTATAAAACTGTTCCAAAGGAAGATTCCCTTCTGTGTCTTAAAAAATAATTAAGCCTGGCCAATGTGGCTCAGTGGTTGAGTGTCAACCTAGGAACCAGGAGGTCACAGTTAATTCCTGGTCAGCGCACATGCCCGTGTTGCTGGCGCCATTTCCAGGAGGAGGTATGCAGAAGGCAGTCAATAAATGATTCTCTCTCTCATCATTGATTTCTATCTCTCTCCCTCGCTGAGATCAATAAAAATATATATTTTAAAAAAGAATACTATTGTTGACTAAGGCCCAAATTAAAGATTTCACTATCCCCACAAATGTGGATGAGAACAGAGGGAGAAAGAGCAAGTTATCCCAATAAAGAGTGAAACAAAGTAACAAAGTTGGCTTGGATGATGCCCACAAGGTGAGATTAAGTAGTTGGACGGAGTGGAGCCAGATACTGCTCAGATGAGAGTAGTAGCTGCTTGAGTCAGGGCCCCTCTCTTTGAGGAACTGAAGATTATTTGGGGAATTAAGAGTTACCCGTATGGGGTAATTAGTAAATAAAATAAAATTCTATCTGAGGGCAAAACACTAGCAAAACGAGATTGTGGATCAGAACAATTAGGAGACATTTCCTTGGGAAGAAAACAATGTCCTCATGTTATTTTAGCGCCTCTCCCAGATTGTAAATCTTCTCAGACCAGTCAGTTATATATAAAAGTCGATCAATAAACTCTTGCTGAAAGAATGAGTTTTTGAATGAATGAATGAGTGAAAGTGATGAGAAGAGGAAGGAGGAGGATGAATTAATGAGGGGGGAGGGTAGCACAAGCAAAGTCCTTTAGATAAGTATGGCTTTAGCTTGCATGGAGCCACTATGAGGTCAATGACCCAAGCAGCAGCAATGTAAGCTTTGTTGGCCTTCCTCAGTCTGTTTCTCCATTTAGCATAAGGAAGCTAGCTCACTGTTTTCCTTATAAAGCAGCAAAGGACACCTTTGTACTCTACTCAGTTTTTCTGATGAAGTGATTACTTTTGACAGCTGCATCTTTGCAGCTTGTAGAAGAGAATCACAATTTTTTTTCAGGTACACCTGCATCTCCTCTCAACAAGAAAAGAAATGAGTGACTCTCAGGAAACACATGCTTTTTGACAATAGGATTTTCAAGCTGATTTGAGGAAATTAATATCTGAGTGAGCAAATATCCATGCTACAGAGTGAACAGTGTGAAATAGATGCTGTGTCATTCTGTGAGCCATGATGGGAATTGGATTTGCTAATACTGGATGCTGGATGAGCTCCATTACAAAGGTTTAGGAATAGAGCTGTTAGAGGATCATTCCAAAATCGATGGGCCACAATTATGAATTTGTACTCTATGTTATGTGCTTTTCCTATAGTTAAGAATGGAAAGTGGAATCTCTGAGAGTGCCACCATTCTTTGCCTGCAAGCATGGGTGGCCGTAGTATGTCTACAGAGATAAAAGGAAGTTCTGCTGTTCTGGAAGCAGCATTCTATAGTTGTAAAGAGAAGGCACAGGATGATAGCCTATAATTATTCAGCTTTTCCACATGTGGCATTGTACTAAGATAGATGATAGATAGATAGATAGATAGATAGATAGATAGATAGATAGATAGATAGATTAGATACATAGATTAGATAGATAGATAGATAGATAGATAGATAGATAGATTAGATACATAGATGATAGATAGATAGATAGATAGATAGATAGATAGATAGATAGATAGAAAATATAGATAAACACAGACACACAAGCATCTACTGACAGCAGTATATACTACTAATATGGCTATTATAATATGGACTCAGGAAATTTTGGCTTAAAGACTTTTAGAAGATCATTCAGCTAGCTTTGAATACATACAAAAACTAGTCCCGGATGTCACTTGCGTAATCTCTGATCTCTCATTTAATAGTAGAATCCCCTCTATCATGTAGTCTCTGCCTAAAAACTCTCAAAGGCAAAGTTTTCACAATTTGAGGGAAAACTCTAACCATTATAAAATTTGTTATTTTTCTACTGAGCCACATTTTTCTTCCTTGTGACCTCTATCAATTGGTCTTTGTATTGGCTCAATAAATTTTAGCAGTATTGCCCCCTTCTTCTTATGTCCATCTCTATCTCTCAGTAGACTTTTTTCTGCTCTTGCCTCAGTGTCTTTCTCTTTTCTTCTATGGTGTTCTATTCCCTTTCATCTCATCGTTTAACTTTCTTTCAGGTTCCTTTCATCCTCTATGTCTTTCCCTCAGCTTCCTGTTCCTATCTGTTTACATCTCTTTTTCTCTTGGTCATAATATGGGATTAAAGCCCATTTAAAAATTGATATGATACTAAAAATGTTTCTATATTTTTATTCTTAATTTTCTACAATCAACTGAATCTGCAGTGCTTCCCTCATTTAAAAAAAATAAATACACAAAACTTACGGTTTTGTTTTGGTTTTTTACTTGACTAGTTCTTTGGTCTTTCCTGTGGGCCACAGACTTTTAAAACTTTTAAATTATAAATTCCATTTATAATTTACATTTCCATTATAAATTACATTTTTGACAATTAAATAATATTAAAAATTACAGATAAGCTAAAGCTCAGAAAAGTGAGACGATGAGTTGGTTCAATGCAGAGTAGTAATCTGAACTCTACGTTAGTCAAAATATAATAGTCAGATCAATTATAATAACAGCCAAGACCAATGTAGTGCTTCAATGTGCCAAGTACTTTTCTGACATTAACTCATTTAAAATCTATAACTCAATTAGACTTATACTTTTTTATTCCCATTTTTTAGATAAGATCATTGAAGAACTGAAAAATTAAGTAACTTGCACAGGATTGTACTGCTTATAAATGTTGGAGCTAGAATTTAAACCCAGTCAGTCTGGCTTTAATGATTTTGTCTTTAAGTTCTATGTTGTACTGCAGACTCAGATGAGGTGAGAGGTGACTTTCTCCCTAATTAGGTGAGGCCCCAAACTGAACTCAGGTCTGTCTCAGTGATTACTCCAGAAAAGTGATGTGGGAGAAAGAGCATACTCTTTAGAGTCAGAGGATCTGGGTTTCGAGTTCTATTTTCTAGCTATGTGACCTTGGACTTCTTTTTAAGCTCTCTTTCCTCCAGTTTCCTCATTGGCAAATTGGAAATAGGAGTATATTTCTCAGGAAGCGGAGGTAAGAATTAAATGAAATCATAAGTATGAAGGAGTTGTCTAAAATTCATAGCCCGTCAACACAACTCAGTGTGCAGAATACTGAACTTGAGCCTCAAGTCTGTGACAGCCAAGAAGATACCTTTATGATAGACAGAATTCTAAGATCGTCCTCAGTGACCCGCAGCCTTTTCTAACCCCTTCCCTTTAAGTGGGGGCAGAACCTTTGAGTATAATGGGATATCACTTCTGTGGTAATATTACTTTATTTGGCAAAAGAGATTTCCCACAGATGTCATTGAGGTCTCTAACCAGTTGACTTTGAGTTAATCAAAAGGGAGATTATCCTGTGTTGGCCCGAGCTAACCCAGTGAGCACTTTAGAGGCAAACAGATGGTCCTACCGGCCTGGATAAAGCAAACTCCCATGTTGTGAGAAGACCTATGGAAAGAGCCACATGGGGAGTACCTGAGAGTAACCTGTAGGAGCTGAGAGCAAGCCACAGCTGGCATGATGGGAGTTGGCAGTCATATAGCTGAAGTCTTCCAATAGCCACATGAGCTCAGGGGAGGACCCCAAGCTCCCAAAAGAAATACAGTGCAGGTGATGCCTTGATTGTAGCCTTGTAGGACCCAGAGTAGAGGACTTTACTAAGCTGTCCTCAGACTCCTGACCCACTGAAACGCTGAGCTAATAAATATATGTTGTTTTAGACATTAAATTTGTGGTAATTTGTCACACAGAAATAAAAAACTAATATGGACACCATGAAATTCTGGACCCTGAAGTTTACTTATGGCTGGACTGCAGACTGGTTTGCCCATTGAAGCTGCTGCCAGTACTACCACACTCTAAACCTCAGAAACACTGGTCAGGCCTTATGACTAGTCTCGGGCCCTTCACACACCTGGAAGCAAAAACAGTCAGAAAAAAGCAGGGAGGGGACCAAGGTCAGAAATAGGGAAGAAAGCAGTCCCCTAAGAGGAGGGACAACAGAGGCAGAGACTAGCTGAGATGTGTTTTTACATGTGGTGGCTAAAGATGAGAAACTGAGCTGTAATGAGGGAGAGAGCCAGAGCCTGCGGGGAAATGGGTGATGCAAGCTAAGAGATAAGGATGAATGTCTCTAAAGTGGTCTTTTTTCCATGCAACCTTTTGTTTTTTTTTAAATATCACTCCTTGTGCATGGGTATTTATGGATATAACAATTGTCTTTTTAGCATATGTATAAAATGCAGAAAAGTTGACTTATACTTCACAAAACTCAACACATTGATTTTAACACTAAATAGAGTCAATGACTGTTAACATTTTGTACATTTATCTCTGCTATTTGTTTTTGCTATTATGCTTTTTATTTAGTTGAGCTTGTGCTCTAATATTTAACATTTCTTTAATTTCCTATAA